GTGCTTAATTTTCTCAGACATTGAAACCACATCTGGTATAGTACCACAGTTAGAGTCATCATGTTGCTAAACTTTCAGTAGCCCACTACTATTGTCCAAGATCCATCTGTCTTTGGCACATACACTGAAATAAAACAGTTACATTGGAATGTGGCAGGAATCAGCACCCTTGCACACTTCATATTCTTCATGGTGGCACTAATCTCTGCAATCACCATAGGAATGCAGTGGTTCCTGTGGTCCTTACATCATAACTGCCTTTATTCTACGGATCAGAGAGCCAGTGTAAAGATTCTGCCAACAGCTGAATATATCTTCTCTAATGATGCATTCTGTATCCACAGCCACAGCATGAGCTCAGGAACTCACAATTCCACTGTGAGAACTTGACCTCCATAAACTTTAATTTGGATGGTAGATTACACTGAGACTTAAGAGCTTATGAAATTAGTTTCAGTTCAAAGCCAGCATGCAATAGTTTCCAAATGATTTGGTTATTTCTCTTTCCTCGATGCAGTTACCCTGGTAAAAGGCCTTAGGTTGCTTTAGAGAAAGTTGGAGGAAAGACTAACAGTATGCAGTTTTGTCAATCTACTGAGATCATTCCTGGAAGAGACCCATCCTTTCATTCATTCAAGTATTAGAACTAAAATGGTTCCGTTCTAGGTTGATTGGGGGTTGTGAGAGTTCTTAATGCTTCCAGGAAAGCAGTAATTTGGTAAGCTCAGCATAATCATTGCCATAGATTGCCTGAGTCCAATTACTTTGATTGTTGTTTTGACTCTGCACTCCACTGTGTGTAATCATGCTTGCTCACCTTACTTTTGGCACTTGAGTGCTGCCGTTTGGTCAGAGCCTTTCTAGGATGTAACTGTTTCCATTGAATTTGGATTAAGTGGTTCAGTGACTTCAGTCTCTATTCCAAGCTCTAGACTGCCCAGAATAGTGATTATGGGGCTCTGCAAACACAACAACATTTCATGGCCTTTTCCCTCCATCATAAAACTCTTACATTCTTTCTGGCCCCTCTTTCACACCATTCTCCGAGTCTTGAGAGGAGGAATAGATTTGTCCTACCGAGAGCTGAACAGTCAATAGTCAATTATTATTGGAACACTGACTATCAGTGCATCATGAAACTTCTTGAACAAAAACTGAAAGAAGCATCAATAGACAGACATAGACATGAGTAGAGGCAGTTTGAGTACATATCCGTTTAGCAAAATAATAGTAAGCAGTTTACCCCTCAAGTTTATGACTTTCATAACCATACACTGTTGTCTAGGTTTATATCACAATCCATGAGTTTCCTCATGGAAAGCAGGCCTCAAATCTAATTAGAAAGTGATTGGTTATCTCCATAATAGTCACGCCATTATTTCAACAAAGGACACATCTCACCTGACAGGTAATTATTATAGTTTGTAGGATTCCTTGCTGGGTCAGTTTGCTTGATGACTTGTCTCCCTCAGCACCCTGAATAGTACCTTCTAGCACTTTGAAAGCTAGCCAAAGTACGGAACATCGAGCTCAGTTCCAATTTGATTTCTCCATGTCCTGTGATCAAAGCAATGGGATATTATAATCAAGTTATGTGAACAAGCAAGAGCCATGGCGATAGGCAATAGTGTATCCCCAAAGGAGAATAAAAATTTCAAAGTTATTATTTACACACATTTCCAACTGTCATGACATCCAAAATTATTCATTGTTTAAGTTTTAATAATGAGAATTATCACTCCGGTCTTTCAAGGGAAGAAATCTTCGCTTCAGGGGAAGCTTAGAACTGATCTGATGATTTCAATCCTTTCCAAAAGGGGTCACTATATACATCATTTCCTTTATGCATTAAAATGTTGAGCTTGGGTTCAGGGGAGTGTGGAGCTCTTGAAAGGAAGGGAATTGTGAAGTAGCCCTTCTAAGAAGCTCCAAGCTCTTATTGTGTAGCTTCAGTGTTAAGATGGCCCCTGCTCCTGTCATTAGGAAGACACAACACAGAGCTATAGAGATGGATCAGCAGGGAGGAACACTGGCTATTCTACCAGGGCACTGGAGTCTATACTCACATGGTGGCTCACAACTGCCTGAAACTCCAGTACCATGAAATTCAACAACATCTGTCCTCTGTGGGCACAAAATGTGCAAGTGCTGTGCAGATATCAGGAAGGCAAAACACCAATACATATTTTTAAAGGGCAACCTCAGCCACATTACCCTTAATCTGGGATACTTCTCTGTATTGAGGATAAGTTTAAAATGCAACTCTTGTTGCTTAGAAGAGGTTTCTTAAAGGAAGGAGAAAACTGGGATTTGGCATGGTATGTCCCTCCTTCTGGAGTTCAGTTGTTTGTTACTGGCTACATGGATGTGCTTAAAGAAATAAATGTTTAAGTCTACATCAACTATGTTGTAAATAAGTGTTTCCATATTTAGCAGAAAGAAAAGGAAGCCTTTTTATTTTTCTTACATTCTTCTCAAGCATCTCCTGCATACATCACTTCCAAACTGCTTAAGTGGTCAAGAGAAGACATCTGCACCAAACTACAGAGCCATCTAATCTCACAGGGACCTATTGTTGAAGAATGTAGCAGAAACAGCACATTAATAAAATTATTCATATATAAATATATTTTAGATTATGCGATATATAAGTACATAAATATATACATATTTTGTATGTATATAAAATTATAATAATAACAGCCAACCAATAAAATTATCATATTTCCAAGCACTTTCCATCACTGAGCAACTGTAATCAGATGTGGTCTCCTGGATTGTTTAAAGCCCTGATGCTTTAGGAGTTTATAGAAGAGAAGACAAAAATGGGGAAAGAAAATTTTCTAGTAAAACAAATGGAAGTACAAGGTCAAACTATTTAAAATATGAAATCACTACAGCACAGGGTGATGAATGACATACTTGGTGTATAGTAGACTAAAAGAAAATTAAATGTGTATATATGCAGTATTTTATCTGCAATAATCTTTATAATGTTGTTAGTGGTAATTATCTATGTGGCTAATTATAAATAGTTAAAATTTTTCAATAAGTGCTGATTTTATAAGCAACACATGCCAATTAGTTGTCATCTTTTTTCTGTTTTATGTTTTTATTATTTTGAAAATAATCTTATTTTACTAGTTCTCATCTTAGAAAGAATTCTCTCATCCTGGGGTGGGGGAGAAAGGAAAATGTGTCTTTGTAAAGATGCTAAACTTTTATAGGTATGTATATACAAGTGAGCTTGTCAATTCAGCCCTGAGGCACTGGTGAAGTTTCAGTGACACCTTATTGAGTTTCTGGTGAATGCATAAATTATCAGTGCTAACACAGATTATCTGGAAATCAGCATAACAACTAAACATACTTTACTTTTTCTTCCAGTTCTTTTGTACTCCAGTCTCCCTGTGCATTCTTTCATCTTGTCAAGTTGGTGGCTCTCTTGTTCAGAAGTGAGGCCACTGGATACTTATTCATGCTCTGATCCTTGTGACAAAAAGAGTCAGACTATAATAGGTTTACCTTTGCATTTGGAAGCAGGACTCAAAGAGATTACAACTTTTTTTAAGGATTCTATTGAGTTTATTTGATTTAGGCCAATACGATGTGGAATTCATATTTCTCTTTCATATTGAAAATGTATTTTCTGTAAGTTTCAAGAAACATCTCTAGTAACCCCAGGTAATCTCATATCAGAGATAAACTCCAGGTCAACATGTTTGTTCCTCAAAAAAGATGTTTGAGAATCCTACCTTGCTTTATGCATAACATAGTGGTTACTCCTATGAGGCCTAGGGCACAAGATGGTAGCACTGAACAACAAGGGAGAGAGCCTTCTCTAGCTACTCCCTCGATGTTCTTCTTAAGTGCAAACACATCGCCTGCTTAGAAACGCTTGGATAAGTTATGCTTGGAACAAAAGTTGAAAGACTGCACACAGGGGTCTCTGCAATACTTATTTGCTAGCTTGGGATTGATGTTGAAGATACTAAATACTTTTCTGGGGTTGCCCATTTTGATCTCTTTTAGATATCAGTTAAGGCTGGTCTGTGCCTCAGTTTCTTATTCAAAATATGTGAATACCTGGGTTGTGAGAACAAAATGGGACAATACATACAAAACAACTTCTGCCACATAATGTTCACGTCATAGGTAAAATCTTGATAAATGGCTAAATGGGAAGAATACATTTCATATGATCTCAAAAAGTCACCCGACATTTATGTTTTCCAAGAAGGACATTAGCACCCATAAACATACCTTCAGTCAGAATTCATATATTCTTGCATTATCTGTTCAGTGGATATTACTTATTCTAAGAAAAACTAGGAAAATGTGCCTTATGGTCCACTACTGGCCTTCTATGAAAGCAGAAGTCAGGTTTTTGTTGTTGTTATTATTATTAATTTATTTCGTTCATGAAGGTGTCTGGCCTGCATATATGTCTGTGCACCATGTGCATAACTGGTGCCTGTGGAGGCCAGAAGAGGGTGTTAACTCCCTGGAACTGAAGTTATGGACCCTTGGGAGCTGTTATGTGGGTGCTGGGAATTGAACCTGGGTCCTCCAGAAGAGAAGCCAGTGCTCTTAACTGCTGAGTCATCTCTTCAGCCCCACTGAAGACTTTAAACAAATCCCAAAAAGGGTCAAGGGTAGTCCCATGGGAGGTGACAAGGATATAGAGCAGTAAGATTGTGGTAAAGTAAACAACATAGACTAAATGTTGACAAAATATAGTCTATATGCTAAAACTCACATTGTACTGCTTTGCCTGATGACTTCCTCGGTTGACACCACATTTGTCATTTGAACCCCCAGGAGGTATCAGAACTCATTTCCGACATCCCCTTTCCATATGCCTGTCTAGTGTTGACCTCAATGAGTAATGAAGTGGGCTGAAACTGAAAATGAGTGGGGGTTTGCTGCAGGATACTAAAGAGAAGGTAAGTGTCTACACCCACCTGGAGACAGTTAAAAACTAATAAGCACACATGGTCTCCCAATAATGATTTTATTTTTATGAAATGTTGAGTACGATTATTTAAAACAAAAAGTCATAACTGATTATATATTTAGCTATTTGTTTTTACTAAAAGAATATGATTACATAAAATCAGGGTTTTTCTGAGAAGGGGTATGAGAGGATTCTTCAACCTAAAAGCCTGGAATCTGACAGAAATGTTAAGTCCCCATAAATTTAAATCTACCACACAAGTCATCATAACTCCAGGCAGGTCTTAGGTAACCTGGTATAATATGGGACAGGCAGAGAAGGAAATTTGAAACTTCTGGATTAATATTCATTCTCGAGTTTGAGTAAACTTCAGGTAACTCAGTTTCAGGCAATAAATTCCTCTAATGTAAGAGATGTACTCATGCTGTGAATGAGCTCTGTGGATCTGTGCTTGATTTAAATCACCTTCACAGACTATTATCCATTATGGAATTGTGCCCAGAGATGCAGGTTCAACCTCCTCCATGGGGCACCAGGGGTGTGGGGTGGGATCTTTGTTCTGATAAGTTCTTTGTAGGACACGAAACTTACCATTTGCTGGGTCTTTTTGCCCCCCAGAAGGCATCACAATTCCATTCTGACATAACCTTTTCGTATGCCAGTTTTCAGTTGATTGCAAAGTTAAAGAATTAAAGAATCCTCTCTTTTTCAGGGTCAACGAGATATTTTGGGAGGCAGCCCAGAACAAAAACATGAATAATTAAACTCAAGTCACCATTGAATATATCAAAGCACCACATTGGAAAGGTTAAAAATGTAAAATGTGACCTTTACATAGTGTAATAATACACAGTGTTTTGTTGTTGTAGTCAAAAATCATTTGAGGAGAATAAAAAGCTTTAAACAATAGTCAAAATGGATTGAAAGTTTAAAAAGTATATATTCAGTTTAGTGAGTAATACAATATTTTTCAATGCAGTTCTGTTTAACTAAGTAGTATAGTTTCTAAAACCACAAAACAAGCTAAAACACCTATATGAAATTTTATCTACTTTCCTAAAGCTACTCAGTATGTAGATGTGTAGTAAGTACAAAACTGTACTCAAGTGAAATGAAAAGAAACACAATTTACAGGTTTTTTAAAAGGAGAAGCCATACATTGAGAGACTGAATAAACCACTAGCAACCTAAGAAATATATTGAAAAGTATATCATGCTAAACTTAGTGCTCACCTCTCATGCTGTATTGTATGGTGAACAATGAAAAAAGTCAAACTGGCCCTTGTCCAAGAGGAAAGAAAACTCTGATGAAAATGCACATAAAACTCCACTAAGAAATGCCAGCATTTTCCAGGGAGAAATCTGAGACTCCAAATCACTACTCATAATTTGTTACTAATTGTATTTGAGATAGCTCCAATTACTTCTAGATTATAGATATAGCTTGTGACAAAGGACCAGAAAAACAAGGCACAACCACTGAAAGTTGGTGGAGTATAAAAATTTACAGTTATACTTGATTTCCTTTTCTGTAAGTAAAGATTAGCTAAGGCAAAGAAACATATTATACTGATGCCCATTAAAGATTATTTGTGGGGGCCTCCAAACTAACAGCTAAGCTGATTACATGCATCCCATTAAAAGATTTAAGACACAAAAGTGTCCATTTCTCTAAGAGAACTGCTTTTTCGGCAAGACATAGTCTCTCTCTTGCCCTGGAGCCAAGTAATGGGAACCCTGAACGCACTGCGCAGCTTCTGTTGGAAGCGGTTTCCAACAAAACAATACAGAAAGGGATTAACACAGCTGTTGGTGAATCCCAGGAGGATGGCAAAAGGGAGTGCCAGGTCAATGACTGCTATAACTTCACAGCTATTAATGATACCCATCCAGGCCAGAGCATCCAGGAAGGTCAGAACATGGAAGGGAAGCCAGCAAATGATGAACGCCAACACAACAGCAGCTGCCATCTTCAAGACTTGGTCACGGGTTATTCTGTTCTTCCCATAGCTATTGGTCTTCAGCAAGTGTTTTCTGATTCCAAAGTAACACGTTGCTATGAATATTAAAGGAATAATAAAACCGAGAATATTTTTCATTAAGGCAATCCCAGCAGACCACTGGGCATATTTCTCAGGTGGGAAAGCCATAATACAAGCATTCACGCCTAAGTATTCAATGGTTCTGACATCTCGGAAATAAAATGTTGGCAATGAGGACAAACAGGCCATACACCAGACAAGGGGAACTACATAAGATGCTTGCCAGGGGTTCCTTCTTTGAGACAGAAAAGGGTAGATAACTGATTGGTACCTGTCAACACTCATGCAGGTAATGAAAAAAATGCTGGCAAACATGTTCAGGGTCAGAAAAGAACCAAAGACTTTGCACATCACAGGACCAAAGAGCCAGTCATATCTGTAAGAGTAATAGGATGCCCAGAGAGGGAGGGTAGCCAAAAGGAGTAAATCGGCCACAGCCAGATTGAAGATGTAAATGCTGGAAACCTTTTTAGGGCCCTTTTGACAACAGAACAGTGAGACCACAACAATATTAACAGCAAAGCCAATGACAAAAATAGTGTAGTAGAGCACAGGAATTGCTTCCAAATGCTTATCCGACGGTTTGTGCGAGCAGTTAAAGACAGACTCATTGGTGGCAGATATGTTGAGACCATCAAAAGGAAGGCTGCTGGTGACATTTTTGCTGGTGGCGACAAAACCAAAGTTGTCCTTCATATTGAATTGTCAGCAACTCCTAATTCTTACGCCTTCCCTGAGGGAGGAAAAATAGAGTGCTTTATTGCATATCCAAAGCCTGAGGGATATTTGAGTCATAAGCATTTTGAAAATTTGTCAAAGGCCAAAATAATGTAAATGGTTGCAGAAACCATTATAAAACAGCAACAAGCCTGACAAGTAGTAGGAATAACTACTATCTCTTGAGGAAAAAAAAACACAACATTTCCTCAGTAGTATTAGACTGAAAGTTCTGAACAAAACATTTTGTCTCTCCTCTCGTGTCTTTGAAAAGTTGAGAGAGAAATTAACAGCTTAAAAGTTAGTCAGGGAAGAAATTTGTATGAGACAAATAAGAAGGAACACAAAGGTGACTTGATAGTTCAAAAACCATCTGTGTGCTTTCTAGAAATCTCACTGCTGCCTGCTGCTACATAGAGCAATGCTTTATTAAAGTAACTTATATACAAATTGTTATAGCTATGGAAAATATGAGCAACATAAGCCATTAGAACAAAACAGGTAAGTGTACAAAGAACTGAAAGAATATATAGGAGTATATTGGGATAGAGGGTCAGGGTCCGTTTTGGCTAACTGAAAATCATCTATTTACTTTCCCCCTTGCTTTCACAATAACAAGAAGAAATCATGGATGTGCATGTATTTCCTAAAGATTTCCCCTCAAAATTGTAATAGTACATTCCAGTTTTCAATATGGATATTTAAATCCGGTCTATTTGATAGGAAACAAATCCATTTTCAGTTTAATTTGAAGATAAAGAAAACAAAACAGCCAAACTTGACTCAGGGCCAAACAGATATAGTTTTGGTTGCTCAATTAAATCAGAATTGAACATCAGTGACTAATTATGATATAGTCTTGCTGTTTTTTTTCTTTGCTATTTTTTCTTTTTAACAACTAAATAATCACTACTTTCCAGCATTAACAGTGTTCAGGTGGGGGTAGTTTTTTCCTTTAAACTAGCCATATACCTTTAAAACAAAAGAAAATTAAAGATAAACACATAAAGAGAAAAACCAGATCATTTCAAAGTACATACAAGCAAATACTCAATTTAGAATGTAACCACCAGAGAACTTCCTGAGAAACGGCAAACTGTCGTTTCTATCAAACGACGATTCTTTTGCATGACCTTCCAAATTAACATAAAAGAATCAAAAATAAATCCCACTGAAGACTTACTTGTTGCCAGTGTTTAAAGCAGTTATCATAAATCAGCTTACTTAGCTCCCAAACGCACTCCTGTAAGAGAAATAGCAGTTAAAGAATTAAGGCGTTCTGCAAAACGCAGTGTTAAAATACAGGAAAAATAAAACATTTGTCCACACACACAAACATTTTTTAGTGCTGTATGTTCTCCTTCCCAACTCAAGCATGTATAAATTGTTCTGACTTACCTTAAAGATTCAGACTGAAGAGAGCTTTCAGTTCTGTGCTCCCTCCATCCCTAGACTCTGAGATGCAACTGCACCAGACTTCTGCTTTCCCTCTTATATATTCACTCTGTCCACTGGGGAGCCTTCAACCTACATAATTCTGAGGCTGACTTATGAACGCTTGCCAGCTTTCCAGAGGGTTTTTTTTCTGGCTGCAAAACATTAATCTGAAATTCTCATGTCTCCAATCATAACAGCTCATTCAAATAAATCTCAAACAAAAAAAAATGAAGTTTCCACAAATGTGTTGGAGAATTTTAAACTCAGTGCCTTACTTTAAGAGAATAATTTTTAGCAAAAATTTCATTTTCTATTTTCTTGATCATAGCATTCTAAAACAAGTTAAGGAACAATAAGAGACTAGAAAGTTTATTCTAGCAGCCTTTGTTCACAAACATTTTTTACAGCCTTTAGTACATTTTGAATTTTTTACCCCTGTTTGTTAAAGAATGTTAGCAATTTTACTTGAAGTCTACAACTTTTAAGTTTTCTACCTTGCTTTGAAACACTTTGGTTGCCCTACTGCTAGAAGGTTGGGGATAGGACAGATAAAATTTCCTTGTGACAGTAAAAGGTTTTAACAGTTAGTACCTCCGTTCATTTGACCCAGTCTCAATTGTAGCTCAAATATATAGCAACAAGCTGCTACTATAGACTGCTGCTGCTGCTCTGATTGTTTTCCCGGTTTGTATTGTGGAAGGATGCTCACGTTCACACAATCCAGCAGAGCAAGAGTGAGAAAATGAGTACAGTCCTGAAGAAGGATAACACCAGCTGACAGGAAGTGCTTTGTACCTAATACTGTGCTATGTACTTTGTGCTTAATAGTTAAACAAAGAGGTTCCATAGCACACTGGAAGGAATGGCTTTGGAGGTCCAACCCCTTGGCTTCATAAGCCAAGTTCTGCCCCACACTAATTTTATAAATGCAGTCACATTGCTTTCTTTCTCCATGTATCTGCTGTCTCATCTGAGAAATGAGACTAGTGTTAATTATATTTAGAGTACTTAAAATGATGCCCAACACACAGCAGATGCCCGTATAAAGTATTAATATTATTGCCTCTTTACAAATAAGGATACACAGAGTGACAGAGTTTCAATAAACAGAGGTGTGGTCCCATGGCTATTATGAGGATATGTGAATTTCAAGAAAGGTAAACTCATGTCGGAGTTCATATTTTTTAATCTCTACACTGCTGGCTGCTCATCTCTCCTTTCGCTGAGCAAATGGGATACACGCAACATTTACAGACAATCTCGTTGCTAACAGTTAATAAACTATTACAAAGGCACCAAAGGAGAAGAAAGTGTGAAGGACTGCTATGCAAGGGAGAGTGTTCTTCTTAAATGTATTAGCAAAATGGAGACCAGAGAAGAGAAATGTGCAATTGGGAAATTTTCTATAGTTAATGCAGATCATCAGGTAACCCCTCAATGCCACAAGTGCCTGTGAAATTCCAAAGATCCTATGGATCCTATTCTTTGAAGATTCAGAGAGTAGCACAATGGTAGTAGAGTAGTGAGCATCATTGCCTGTCAAGTCGCAAGCATAGGAAGAGATCCTTGTCCTCAGTACCTAGTACATAGGTATGGAGTTCAGTAGAACAAGGAAAGAGATGTGATCATAGGTAACAGAGAACAAAATTACAAGTGTCACAAGAAGCAGCAGACAGCTTGTGACATCTGTCTCTCCATTGATAATAAAGTAAATCCTACAACACATAAGCATATAGAACTGGCAAGAGTTGTCTAGAATAGCCTGAAAAGTACAGTAACCTCCAAATACTTGAGGGTACCATTGTGGTGCTTCTTTTGCTTCAATGGGTTTAAACATTGGCATATATATATATATATATATATATATATATATATATATATATATATATATATCACCCCATTTCATTAAGTCTCAAAATATGTATGTCTTGTGCTCTGGACAGATTCAGGTAGACGTTCTGTTCAAATAATGGAAACCTGATGTCTGGGAAACAAAAGACTGGGCACATATGTTTATCGGCAGGAGAGTTGAAAGGAGAATGAGTTTCATTCTTTGTTTAAGCCTGGTTTCTGCCTTCATTTCAAATGTTTGTTTTTGCCACATACAGGGAATTTTCCATGCCAGAACCTCTGAGTGGTCACAATAGGTCAGATTCCCACCCTGCTCTAGTTCAAGCCAGCCCCCCCCCTCCCCGTGTCCCATTGCAAAGAAATGATCAGGCAGTGAGCTATAAACTTTGGAGAGAGAAAAAAAAAACAGCAGGCTGGCTTCCAGGAGACCTAGCCTTGAACACTGCCTAGAAGCAGGGAACCTTGTCTAGATCTTTCATTATTCATTATAGTAAGTTCTGACGTAAATAAACTTTAAAGAGGCATACACTTCCTGGAAGATTCAAAACACCTTTGCTTTGTTTCTTCATAATTTTAGAGAGGAAAAAATTGTCACAAGCCAAAGAAAAAAATGGTAACTGCAAGGAATTAAGAGAGGAGAAAAAAGGGAATAGTAATAATATTGACACCACTCAAAGAGGAAAAAAAGAAGGCACATTATTGATTCAGCGATGAGCTCCCAGTTAAGCCAACAACGTAAATACACTTGAGGGTCACATAAATGTCAGCCTTGGGAAGCAATACAACACAAGAAAAAAACACTCCTGGGGACTAGGTAAATTTTTTTCACTTGAAGTTTGACTTTAAAAGCTCTGGGTCATTTGAATAAATTATGCAGCTCTTAAGAGCAAATTAATTGGGGCTAGCATATTTAACAAAAGTAAATCACATTATTTTTTTTCTGAGAAACTTTTCTTTCCTGTAAGATTACTTAGCAATAATTTTTAAAGGACTCACAATTTTTCTCTAAAGATTTACTGATTTTTAATTTTTGTGTTGTGTATCAGTGTTTTGCCACACTTAAGTGCTCATGTGCCTGCAGTGCCTCCAGAGTTCAGAAGAGGGCATCAGATCCCATGGAACCAGAGTTCCTGATGCTTATGAACTGCCATGTGGGTAATGGGAACCAAACCCAGGACTTTTGTAAGAGGAACAAATGTTCTTAACTGTTAGGCAATCTCTGTAGCCCCAGGACCAGAATACGTGCATGCGTGCATTCTTGAGAGTTTTTTTCTCCAATGACGAAGAATACAAAGTTCATGAGGAAAAAAAATCAGTTTCCCCTCTCTGCATTCCTCCCACACACAGAGCTTGCTTCCAAAGAGAAAATGAAAATACAAATGTAAAACGGTGCTGGGGTATGTACTCCATGTAGAGATAAGGTTTAGAGAAACTGCTTAGTATTTCAGAGATATTTCCCCTATCTCAGATATCTCTGAGTTCTTATCTAGACTCATATCCCTTCTACTTTTTCCAAATTTAACATACACTCTCACTCATACACAGGCACCCAGAAACACACTTCACATCTGTAGAGTGAAGTCTTACCGCCAGCCTGGTTCCAGAGCCGTATCAGTCCCAAATGAACACACAGGAAGATATATTAATTATTAAGCTGTTGGCCATTTGCTTGTTTCTTACTGGCTAGCTCTGACTTAAGTATTTAACTCATAATTGTTAATCTAAGTATTTCTCTTACCAGAGAAAGGAGTCTGGACCTCTTATTCCTATGACGGCTACATCATGACTGACTCTGCCTTTCTTTCCCAGAATCCTCCTTGACTCATAGTCCCACCTATCTTGCTTCCCTATTGGCCAATAGTGCTTTATTGATATATACACAGGACTTCCCTATCACACACCAGTCTTCTTTCAACTCAAGTATCCTTGGGCAAGATCGACTCTGTCACTTTTCCTGATCTGAGGTTCCCTGAAGGCAAGGAGTTAACATAGTGCTTATATTTAGTGTGTCCTTCCTCACATATTGTTTTTGTGCCTATAGCTGGTTTCTAAACAAAGAGAATAGAGATGTTAGCATGAAAGTGCGATGTTAGAATGAAACAGGAGACCCTCTATTCAGAGGTAGTAATTAAATCGACCATTTCCTTAAAAGCCTAAAAATAAGAGTAAACTAACCAACAGGAGTTGATATTTGTTCTGAATTAACTATCTGCACAGGCCTCACACAAGGATTGACTGAAGGGCTATTAAAGCATTTAACAAGGTGGAGTCTACATGGTACGATGAAAGGATGGCTGACTTAATGTATCCCTGAGACCAGTCACTTCAACCTGAATCTGGTGTCAAAATCAGGAGAAGGGAAAGCTCTATTTGTCTTCTCAAAGGCACATGCAGGCCTAAGAGTTAGATTTCAATCAGGGTCTCACAAAAGGTACCCTACTTCCGTCAAATGACATTTCAAGTGCTATATAATTTTACTGGGCACAAAGTAAACTAATTAATTAAAACTGTCTATCTTCTTTGGTTGCATTAGCTGAGTTGACATTTTCCATAATTTCATTTAGGATAGAACTAAACTGATTAGCTTGACTACAGTACCCAAAATGGCCAAATGATTAAGTTATCCAAACTAAGCCATTGTTTTGACAATATTTAGATAGAACTGTCAAGTAATGGGGATGAGTACATTTTGTCAGATATGATCTCTCAAAGTGTGGTGGATCAACACATCATCACACTTAGTCTGGTGATTGGGACAGAGGCTCAGAAACCAACTTCCTCAGTGTACTGAGACCCTTGGCTTGTACAACAGCAATAAAATCAATGTGCTACCTTACAGCTAATTTATTATTTTACAACTAAGATATTCTACTCTCCAGTGACCCTAAGGTTAGCCTGCCAGCCAAGAATAAGCAAATGAATCATGTCTCATTTCCAAACATGTCTCAATTTTAGAACCAGCATGTGCTTTATTGAATCCAGGAGTTTAACACAATAGTTTGCATATTTAGCACTGAGACTATGCAGTCTGGGCACACTAGTTACAGACACAGATATTCTGTGATGAATAAAGTCATCCTAACATACACCCCTAAATGAAATAGTCAAGGATGGTAGCACCAGTCTGTAATCCCATCATGTAGGAGTCTGAAGCAGGAGGCTCTAACGTCCAAAGCCCATCTGAGCTACAGGTCAGAATTCTGAAACTCCCTTTCCTTCTCTTTCTTGATATCAAGAAGTTAGGGAAATCTTATGTCTGCTTTGCTTCCCATTGCTGTGATGAATACTGTTACCAAAACCAACTTGTAGATAAAAGGGTT